TGGAGGCAAGGATTCTGAGGCTCCATTTAACATACTTTGGACATGTTGTGAGGAGAGACCGGTCCTTGGAGAGGGACATCATGCTTGGGAGGATGGAGGGACAGCGCAGGAGAGGAAGGCCCTCTATGAGGTGGATTGATTCAGTGACTGGGATAATTGGGATGGGAGTGTCAGAGACAGTGCAGTTGGCACAGGACAGAGCAGAGTTTAGGGCTGTTGTACATAGGGTCGCTATGAGTCGCAGGTGACTCGACGGCACATAACAACAACAACAGAGGAGGGAGAGACCAGAGTGAGCTGGAAAGGTCAGGGATCTGAACCTTCAAGTGAGTGAGAAACAAAGAGTAGACATTGAGCCTTCTGACAATTGGGGAAACTAAGGCACACGACATTGACACGATCCAGCCAGGAGCAGAGGCACAATCAAGTGTGGCTGTCACAAACAGAAAAGTCACCGCTGAGCTGACTGTGGCCCTGGGGAATTAGCGGGTGGCAGGTCAGGGTCCCCAGGGCTGACCTGGTGCTTCGGGCAGGAATTCCAGGTTCCTCCCAGGAAGAGCACCTTCCAGATGGACAGACCAGGACTTTGTCCCTGACCAAGAGGCCGTTTGGGAGCTGGCGGCTGTTGGGGAGCTCAGAGCACGTGGCTTCGCAGAGACGGCCTCTTGGAAGGCTGCGGCACGCTCCACAGGTGACACTGCAGACTCCCGGGAGCGGGTGCCGACGTTCCTCAGAGATGTGCAGTGTCTTTATCACAGGTGCCAATCCAGATCGTGGCACAGCTATTGTGGGGGTGCGCTCACAGCTTGGAGACTCTGTGATTGCATGTTTGCAAATTCCCAGTGTGCCATTCTTTCCAAACACCGAAGTGCGTGTGGCATTTATGTGTCGAATGCATTTGCATTGTGCGTGCTTTCTCCAAGTCTCTCTAAGTACCTTTCTAAGGACGTTTTCCCTCTTGGGCACGATGAAGCAGGGTTGGCACAGACTTCACCTGATGCTGACGTGGCTGGTCCGCCCAGGACTACTTCATGGCGACATGCCACCAAACGCCCCCTACCTGAGCAAGGTTGTGCCAGAAGTGACCAGACTCCAAGTCACTTGGTCCTTTCAGTTGCTACCAGGACATCCCTCTTACACGCCTGACAGGCAGTGTGTCATCTCTGCTTACCCTCCTCCAGCTGTGAGGACTTACTCTCTCCTACTAAAGCTTATTTTTTTCTAGAAACGACTCTTCCTGTTTGAAAGATCTTTGTTATATAAGATGATTGTTCTTTCCATAACTAACTCCCTGGCCCTGGATCTCAGTAAGACAACAGAACTAGTCCATCAAGACATTTGTGGAGGCAGAAGGCTAGCAAGCAATGCAGCTGCTCTGTGCCTGGGAGGGTGGGGCAGAGGAGAGGTGGGCAGAGAAGAGTTAAGGCCAGAGGAGGCAGTGTAGAGGGAAGGTGGGTCAGAGGGGAGGTAGGGCAAAGAGGAGGTGGGCAGAGAGGAGGCGGGGCAGAGGGGAAGTGGACCACAAAATAGTTAGGGTAAAAGGGAGGTGGGCCAGAGAGCAGATGGGGCTTAGGAGAGGAGGGGCAGAGGTGGTAGGCCAGAGAGAAGGTGAGTAGAAGAGGCCAGAGAAGAAGTGGGTGGAGAGGCGGTACGGCAGAGGGGCGCAGGGCAACAGGGAGGTGGGGCAGAGAAGAGGGCTGGAGTCCAGAGGAGACCACTCCACATCCAAACTTGGTAACATGAGGATGGTGGTAGGAAGTGGTGAGCAGGCGAACTCCAGGGTCCTAGCTGGGATGTTCAAGTGCATGGTAGGCCATTGACCAAAGAAATGGACAGAAAATGAGCAAGGCTCTGGTGGTGTCCTGTCCGTTTAACTCTAGCACCAGGAGTTGTTGGAGGTTGGACTGCAGCTCTCGTTTCCAGGTCTTCTTTGAGTGGTACCCTGGCTAAGAAGGGCTGAGGGTCCCCTGACTTTCCCTAATATCAGTTGAGGGTGCTCCCCTTCTTCCCAGGGTTCTGAGTCTCCCCTGTAACCTCCTGCAGGCACGTACATTGGGTGCTTCAGCGATGATGGCCAGGAGAGAACGCTGAAGGGCGCCGTGTTCTATGACTTGAGGAAGATGACGGTTGCCCACTGTCAGGACGCATGTGCTGAGCGGTAAGTATGGGGGCTCTGCATGGCTGATACCACTGGGAATTGGGGCGAGAGACGGCCCCAGAACAAGATGACTCATCTGGACATTGCCACTACTTCTCTGTGGTACAATAATGAAACCTCAACTGAGCAGATTCCAATTAACCACAGCAGAGAAAGTTTGTTGATGAGTGGGTGTGGATTCTCAAGAGACCTGGGTTCTAATCCAACCATGCTGGGAACTCACATTTGACTTTCACGAATTCTCTTCTTTCTCTAAAAAGGCTTTAACCAAGTTTCTCTGAACATACTTCTAGCTCTCTCGGAAAATAAAAAAGGACCACTTTCTATCTTGTTTGTAGTAAGGTTTAGGTTTTTTCTCACGCTGCCAATGGCCATGTGCAGGGAATGGTCTCCCTTCTCAGGTCTCACTGTTCCGTCTGTGTATTGTGTTGGAAGAGGGAACAGAACAGCATCCATCTACAAACGGAGCTCCACGCTTTATTTCTATCACATTAGATCCTTTCACACTTGTTACCTCACGTAATCCTCATCGCCCTCTGCTTGGTAACAAGTAGGTATCCTCATTTTACAGGTGGAGAGACTGAGGCTGGAGAAGGAAAAGATAGGGTCCTTGCTCACCTGTACTTGACAGTCCCGATAAAGCCACAGCTGAGAAGCCACAGCCAAGGCTGAAAGGATCTCATTTGCTTCTCCTGCCAGTTAAGGAAACAGATACAGAGGTAGTACGTGACCTTCAAGATGTCATCACAGCCAGACTGGGACTGGAGATTGTTGTTTGGCTTTTCTGTCTTAGCCTTTCCACCTACATCCACGGAGATGGATGTTTGAGCGTGTGGCCTCATGATATAAAGTCTGCAGTACCTCACAGACCCAGTGCCCAGCCACCCTTACCCATGGGGTTGAATCTGTGTAAAGCAAGTAAAGATGTGGCCTTGGAGAAGGAAGGCAGGGCAACCAGCATGTTTCTTACACACTGGCTGTGACAGGAGCTCCCAACGTGGTAGTGCAGAGGCCAAATGGTACGTTTTCAGAAATGTTGAGTTCCATTAAAGTGTTGGTATATTGACATCAGCTTTGATGAGAGTATTTACACCACAGAAATTGGCAAGCAGTACAAATCTGGGTGTGGATTGTTGATCCAAGCAAGATGAAATCACTCACAGCTTCATTCCTTTATCATAATGTTGGCTATTGGTTCTGCTTGAAAAGATGGAGGGTCAGGAAAGGAGAGGAAGCACCCCAGTGAAATGAATTGACACAGTGACTTCAACAGCGGGCTCTAGGGTGTCAGAGATGATGAAGATGGTACAGAATAGGGCAGGGTTCAGGTCAGGGCTCCATAGGGTCACTGTGAGTCATACTCAATTGACAGTACCTAACAACAAACCTGGGCCTCCTACACTCAGGCTGGGAACTGGGAACCAGCATACTCTACTTTTGGCCTGTCTAAATGATGTCAGTCTAGAGACTAAGGTGTGCCCAATCTATGTATCAGAGAGCTGGACAATGACTAAGGATGACAGAAGAAGAGTAGACGCCTTCAAATTGTCGTGCTGGAGAAGAGTCCTGAACATATCATGGACTGCCAAGAAAACAAATAGGTCTGTCTGAGAGAGGGTGAAACCAAGTTTCTTCTTGGAGGCTAGGATTTTTAATTTCCATCTCACAAACTTTGGGCATGTGGCCAAGAGAGACCAAAGGGTCCTTGGAGAAGGACAACATGCTTGGAAGGGTGGAGGGACAACGCAGCAAAGGAAGCCGTCAGATGAGATGGATTGTTAAAGTAGCTGGGACAATGAGGGTTGGTGTGTTGGAATCAGTGAGACTGGCTCAGGACAGGGCAGGGTTCAGAGCTTCTGTCTATGGCACATAACTAAATATGGACAACACATTAGGGGACAAAGCTCAGAGCTGACAAGAGGGACCGATCACAAAGGAAGTACTCTATTCTCTGATCTTATCCAGATGACTCTGGGGAAGGACTAATTCACATACTTTTGTCTGTGGCCCCTTCCCCACCCAGACCCAGCCTCAGCCTCCAGGGCTCCTTGTACCCTGGTCCAGGCTCTAGTGTCGTTTCTGGAGCTAGATGTCAAGGCTGTGAAGAGCCGGACTTCACTTCAGGCCGGGCCTCCAGACTGACCTCAGAACCCTTCTCCTGCAGGTCCTACATCTATGCAGGCTTGGAGGCGGGAGCAGAGTGCTACTGTGGGAACAGGCTCCCAGCAATGAGCGTGGGGCTGGAGGAGTGCAACCACGAGTGCAAGGGGGAGAAGGGCTCAGCGTGTGGGGGCGTCGACCGGCTGTCCGTGTACCGAGTGGAAGAGCTGCAGCCAGGCTCCAGGAAGCGTGAGTGTGTGCCATTCCCCCTGCACGCTCCGGTCCCCCTGCACGCTCCAGGCTCCCAGGAGAACCTATACTTCCCCTCTCTGTCTCTTGGGCTTCCTGGTGCTCAGGTACACAGTGGTGTTTATGTCCATCCAAAGTTGCTCGAGCTCACAATGCAGGTATCACTTTCTTGTCCCCCAGAATCTTGCTTCCTTAGTCCCGTTGGAATACATATTACAAGTTGGTGGCCTTAAAGACAGAAACCTGTTTTATCACGGTTCTGGAGCCACAACATCCAAGCCAGGGTCTTAGCCATATCCATTCCTTCCTTGCAGGTGGTCCCAGGTGTTCTTGATCCCTTGCTTGTAGATGATCCTCACATAACATCAGTCTTACCCCAGCTGTGCACCTCTGCGCATGTGCATCTCTGTGTCGGCTCGGCTCTAAATCAGAAGTAATTAAGTTTCGAAATCACTCCACTTGGGAGAAAACTCTAGTTCCAAACAAGGTTTCCACCACAGGTGTGGGGATCCCAACATATACTCTTGAGTACAGTTTTTTTCCATACAACCTTCTCTATAGAGAGAAATGGGTCAGGCGGCTTGAAGTCTGGACCTTAGTTTGCTTCAGACATGCTGTGTGGCTTTAGACCACTCATTGCCCATCTCTGGGCTCTGTAAACTGCAGTTGTTGTTGTTGTTATGTGCTGTCGAGTCGCTTGCGACTCATAGCGACCCTGTGTACAACAGCCCTAAACTCCGCTCTGTCCTGTGCCAATCGCACTGTCTCTGACACTCCCATCCCAATTATCCCAGTCACTGAATCAGTCCACCTCATAGAGGGCCTTCCTCTCCTGCGCTGTCCCTCCACCCTCCCAAGCATGATGTCCCTCTCTAAGGACCGATCTCTCCTCACAACATGTCCAAAGTATGTTAGACGGAGCCTCAGAATCCTTGCCTCCAAGGAGCCACCTGGTTTAACCCTCTCCAGGACAAATCTGTTTGTTTTCCTAGCAGCCCATGGTATTCTCAATACTCTTCTCCAGCACCACAGCTCAAAGGCATCAATTCTCCTTCTATCCTCGCTGGTCATTGTCCAACTCTCTGATGCATAACAAGTGATTGCGAAGACCATGGCCTATATCAGACGCACCTTAGTCTCCAGAGAGACACCATTGCTCTTCAGTACTTTGGAGAGGTCCCTAACAGCAGACTTTCCCATGGCAATGCGCCTTTTAATTTCCTGGCTGCTGGTGCCAAGACTGTTGACTGTGGAGCCAAGCAAGCTAAAGCTGTGTACAATCTCATTCTCTTCACCATCCATCCTGATGCTGCCAATTGGTCCAGTGGTGAGAATCTTTGTCTACTTGACATTGAGCCTCAATCCACATTGTAGGCTGCAGTCCTTGACATTCTGCAGCAGGCGCTTCAGGTCCTCTTCAGTTTCAGCAAGCAGGGTTGTGTCATCTGCATAACGCAGATTGTTGATAAATTGTCCACCAATCTTGACCCCACATTTCTCCTCATAGAGCCCAGCCTCCTGGATAATCTGTTCTGCATAAAGGTTGAAAAGGTGTGGATATAGGATGCATCCCTGGCGTACGCCCTTCCCAATTTTGAACCATGCAGTGTTCCCTTGCTCTGTTCTGACGACTGCCTCCTGGTCCAAGTATAAGTTTCGCATTAGAACAAGCAAGTGTTTTGGGATTCCCATTCTTCTCAGAGTCAGCCATAGTTTGTTATGATCTACACAGTGGTAAATACCCAGTAGTATGGCAGAAGTTCCTAGCTACAAAAGGAAATGAAAATGAAGCAGGAGCTCTGGTGGCCTAGTCCGTGGGATATTGCACTGCTAATCCAAAGGCAGCTCCCAATTCACCTGTCGCTCCAAGGGAGGATGTGGGAAATCCTGCATTTTATGCCCTCTGAAACCCAGTGGTTGGTCCCAACTCTACAGCAGTGACTTTGATTGTTTTTTTAACTACAATACAATACAGAAATGCTGCATAAACTTCTGTCAAATGTTGCTTTAAACCTGAAATTATGGAGAAGTAAAATCGTTGGGCCCAGAAATTAAATGGGAACCAAGGACCCCCAAGCTCAGAATAGCTCGTGGTGCCATATCATCCAGGGCTCAGAGAGGGCCGTGGGCGAGCTGACAGCCATGGGACTTAGGTCTTCACATCTACGCTGGACAGGAGCAGAGAGACCTTACGCCTGCTAGGATAGGCGTGTGGGCTGTGATGGAAACCTCTGCATAATGGTGGAATTACAATTCCTTTACTTAAACTTGAATATACATATAGATGTATATAGGTGGTTGTTGTGTAACGTCAAGTCAGAACTGACCCATAGCTGACCCTCCAGTAGGTTTTCAGAGATAGTTAATCACACAGGAAGAGATTGCCCATCCTTCTACCATGGAGCAGCTGGTGGATCCGAACTGCACGCCTTCGGGGTTGTAGTGCAGCTTCTTGCCATATGTTTATTATGTATATAAAGAGATAAGCAAAAAATGTCATATCCCATTTGACCTAGACTTCAGGTGTGTGTGTGTGTGTGTGTGTGTAGGGGCAATCTTCTTTCTTAGGACAATGTAACTGTAAACTTGCATTTACATGAATTTTAGGGTTCAAATTGATGTAACTTTCCTGGTTCTGAAGCTTGAACATGAAAGTTGGTTGGCAGCCATCTGGGGGTACCTGGCAGAGATACATTCACTCACAGTCTCTCTTGAGGACTGTGCAGTCTGCTCAAGATATGAAGGGTTCCTGTAGGCAAATTCTCACTGAAGGCGAGCTTGCAAGTCAGAACTGTGGAACTCGGGTGGCAGTAATCAGCCACGAGGGACTCCAAGTTGATACAGACAGTATAGTCGATAGGCACTCTCTCCTTGCCCAAGAACTGACATCGGGTTTGCTGGGGGGGACTGAGAAAGAGGGCATTGAAACAGATGAGGGAGAGAGCTGTTTAAAAGGGATATATGGTTAGATATTATGACAGAAGTCCAGAACGAAGGTAGCATAGTGGAGTGGACTTGGCGGGAGGGATTGAATAACAATAAAAGAATTTTTTTACTTTTCAAAGAGAAAAGCAAACTGGGGGAGGGGTGGGCAGGGAGAAAAGTGCAACAATAAATGAATGGAAATCCAAAGTCTCTGTAAATGTTCATTAAAATCAATTTAAAATTTTAAAACAAGAACTTCAGCTAAAAGATCTACCCAGTGCATATCAGAATTAAAGTACCTAATGAAGGAGTATGATATACCCGTGTTTGTCCATACTGCAGCGTGGTGAACCACAGAGCCACTTAATCTACATATAGAAGGCTCTTCTTTATGAAATGATGACCCTCCAGTGGGTTTTCAGAGACAATCATACAGGAGGATACTCCCATCCTTCTCCCATGGAGCAGCTGGTGGCTTCGAACTGCACACCGTTGGGATTGCAGCACAGCTTCATGCCACTAGGCCACCAAAGCTCCCTATGTATAGGAAGATTTTTTAAATTTTTTTAATGAAATAATGTGCTGGTACATTATGAAATAGTGTGCTTGCACCTTACTGGAGCTGTTTGTCTTATGCTTTGGAGAGAGGAGGCCAGGGAGCCCTGGTGGCACAGTCTATAGGAGACTACTACTAACTTAGTGGGTGTCACGTTTCTGGGGAACCTGAATCCTCCAGCAACTGCACAGGAGAGAAAGATGGGCAATTTCCTCCTGTGCAGTTTGTTGATGTTGTGTACATCGAGTCGACTGAGACTCCTAGTGATGCTATGCACAGTAACTCTGAATCCTGCCCTGTTCTGTGCCAGTTTCACTGTCTCTGACACATCTGCCACTACGACCCCAATTACAGCCTCTGGAAACCCACTGGAGTTCAGTTGTGAGTCAGTTTCAACTTGATGGCAATGAATTTGACTTTGAGTTTTTGACGCTAGGAAGGAGGGAGCTCCAGTGATGTAACCTATAGCGTGTTATAATATTGACAAAAAGGTAGCTTGTCTCTGGCGGTTCAAATCCACCAGCATCTTCAAGGGAGCAAGATGAGTAGTCTCCTCCCAGTAACAGTTCAGTCTCAGAAATCTGACGGAAGGTTGATATTAGTTGGAATAGACTCCGCGACAGAGAGATGACACTTTTTGAGGCTAGGAAGGAGTCAGAGTATTTGCTGAGGACCCATCACCTGGTGATGATTGATAGGCCAGAGACCAAGCTGCCCATTGGCCGGACGTTACCACTGGCCATGATTTGGGTGTCAGGAATTCAGGCAAACTGGTGCATCAGTCCAAGAAGGAAACAGATCTCAAGAAGCAAGTACCAGTTCCAAAGGTGAGCCCTTAGGCTGTTTTAGCAGTGAGTGAATTTGCCGAGTAATATGGCAACCCAGCTCTGAGATCCATTGGATGAGTCTGCAGGTCAGCTTTGCCACTCAGCTCAGACCAATGGGGAGAGGCATTCAATGCTCAGCCGTAGTCATCTGGTGCTGGGGAGACTATGTTGCTTAGGTGTTCTTGCATCAGACTTGATTGTCCAGGAACCAGTGGATACTGGCTGCCCTGGCAGCCTCTTCTACCTACTCCATCACTGGCTTTTGCTGCTGGTCATTATGCTTCAGGGTGCCCACTGGCTAGGGGAGAGATAATGCTGTCATTTCAGGCAGCTCTCTAAGTTGAACTAGCTGGACTCGGTGTCAAGGTCAGTGTTGAAACCACTGGGGAGGCTATGGAGCCTTTTGTGGTCAGCCTTCAACTTTTGCTTTCCCACTCCCTTCTCAAGGTGATATGCTGATAGGACCTCAGAAAGTGACCAAGAAGAGTCCCATCCATCTAATATTATATCTCTGAGCCACAGGAGCAATGAAAGGAATAAACCCCATGATTGTGCTCCCCAGGTAGCGGCCAGCGCATGGCCCTGAGTAATTTACTAATGTCTTCACCATGGAGCTCAGGCGGGCTCTGGCTTCACCCCTGGGGAGTGTGGGAGGGCCTGCGCTAGGTACCAGCCTGCTCCCAGGTCATCCCAGCAGGGAACCCAGGAAGCTGCTGATGCCAGCACCTCTTGCTGCTCCCACGGCTCTGACACGTCACAGTTTATGCACTGTCTTCAGATGTGTCAGCTCATTCATTTTCTATGTCATTTGAGCACTCCTGATCATGGGGCAGAGTCCCCACCTTCCCTGCAGGTCGCGGCGGTTTGGCCCCAGCCGTGTGTCTCAGGCACAGTCATGACCTATCAGTGGGGGTTTGAGTGTTGCTGTGATTCTGAATGGAGTTCAGTGGAGCTTCCAGATTAAGAGAGCCTATGAAGGAAGGCCTCCAAAAAGCAACCAGTGAGAACCTTTTCATCACGGTAAAATTGATCTGGAATTGAGCATGGAGGTTGCAGGGCCCTGGGCAGCCTTTTGTTCCATTGTGTTCAGGGTTGACATGAGTCAGGACAGATGACTTGAGGGCACCTAACAGCACTGACATTGAGCAGCTGCTCTGTGTTTGAGCCGGGGCTGGATGCAGGGACATCAGTGACCCTGACACAGCCCCTCCTGGAGGAGCTCCGCTCTGGAGGCCTCACGGCCCCTTGCTAAAGTCCCTGAGGGCTGAGTCTCCATGGTTGCTGACCACCCTGATCTCCCCATATCTTGCCTGACTGGCCCTCCCCTGACCATCAAGCCTGTTTCCTCCATGTCTGGCCCACGCTTACAGAGCATCAGAGCCCAAGACGTCCAGGTATTTTGTTTTTTTTGTGGTCCATTCATGCAACAGGACAGAAAGAATTAAGAGCCCAGCATTAGTAATCATCCCAGGGTGTTAAAACAAGAACTGGGGCAGGAATGTGCTTTTGGGGGATGTGGACTGGTCAGGGGATGGAGCATGTGTGCACATTACTTCTCCAATCAGGAGACCCTTGAGCCCACTGCTATGCTCAAAGTTAATGTGCTAGTCACTGGAAGTGCCTGGGCTTGAATTCAGGCCTCAGGGATTATAAGCCTAGACTGTTTTCTATTATATGTAGTCTAATACGTTCTCTGCCCTCATGTCCAGGCCCCTTGGGCTGTGGCTGATTGGGTTGGGCTTGCAAATTCAGGATTTGGCCATGCCTTTGCACTTGACTGTGAAGAAAATCTTCCTATTGTGGGTTAGCTGCTGAGAATATTTCTTCTACTGGCCACGAGATGTGGTAGGTATATAGTAAACTGGAAGAAGCTCTGGGCTTTAGGAGACCTTGTGTTAGAGGGAGCTTGTGGCATGGATCAGAATGTCCTATCTTGTGCTTCTTTTAACAGAAACTCTGATAGTGTTTCTCTATAAAAAGTAAATACAAATAGTTGGTGATGGAACATTCCAGAAGGCTTGTTGAGCACCAAAGCCAACTCCAGAACAGGATTTCCCACCAGAAGGTCTAGAGAGCAATTCAGAAGGCAATTTCAGCCCAGGCCTGAGGTGTATTCCTAGAATGTAGATTCAAGGTCACAGAGAGGCAAATCTTGCTAGGCAGCAAAACAGTAGTAGTGTGACTCACAGTACAGGAAAGTGGCAGGATTTCCGATTTCTAGATCTAATTATCTTTTATGCATATTCTAGGAATGCTTAGGATTAGAATCTGGTATGTAGTAGATACACAGTATGGAAATTTCCCAAAGGGAGGGGATGGACCGCAAGAACATGGAAACAGCCCAGATGTCCTATCACAAATGAATGGATTGAGAAGTTGTAGTACATTCACACAGTGGAATACTACGTAGCACACAGGAGCATTGATTTTGTAAATTACTACCTAATTTGAAAGGGACTATATAGCATTATGTTGAGTGAACTAACTTGGCCCACAAGGACAAACACTGTATAACACCATTATTATAGAATAAGTATGAGGATCCAGGGAGAGGGAGGGTGGAAGCAGAGGGGTGAGGATGGCCAGGGGTTGAGTTGTTAATTCAGTGTGTGGGGAGGTGAAGGAAATGGGAAAGATCTTGTGTGAAAAAAATGTATTTGAACTTCGTACATACATCAATATAAAATTTTAATTTTTTTTTTTTAAAACAGGGATGGATGGATGGATGGATAGGTGGAGGGGTGGATGAGAGGATGGATAGATGAACATTGTCCTCAGAGAGTTTAGTAGGAGAAGTGAGATCTGAGCTCAATGGTTTTGTCTAAATGGTCTCTTGGAAATAAGTAGAACGCTGAGTAACCAAGGTTCTGCTCCCAAGGTTTCTATTAGAAGCACAACTTGACTGTGCCTCAATTGAATGTTGTTTTCTTAGTTTCTTAATGTGCCCATAAAGAACACAATGACAAAGACTTTTAAAAACAGAACTGTATCATGACATTCATAGTTCTAGGGACTTGAAGTCCAAATCAGAGTATCAACTATGCCAAAGGCTGGGAGTCGCAGAGAAGAGCTGTTCTGTGTGTCTTCTAGTTTCTGCCAGGAGCTGTTGTCATAGCTTTATAGTTGGAGCTTCACATGGTAGATGTAGATGCATCTTTGTCTTTGTGAGAGACTCCCATTCTCCATGTCTGGTCTCCCCATTCACAAGATACTGTGGGATTTAGGAGTAGGACACATGCTCCTTCAATACAGCTTAACTGATAAGATCTTCAAAGAAAGACCCCAAACAGGGTCCAGTTTGCAAGCACAAGGGTCAGGACTTCATCATATATTTGGAGACAGCATTCGGTCCACAGCACTTTCCCCTGCAATTTGAAAGCTGCCCCTCTGGAGCCTGCTGACACCTGTTTCCACATCAGAAGCATCGACTGCTGTGGGTGCCATCCCTCACCAGAATCCCATTTCCTTTCCTGCAGGGAGGACCGTCATGTACCGTGGGTGCTTCCGACTGCCAGAGAATGTTACACATGCCTTCCCTGACTCCCTGATCGAAGCCAACATGACTGTGGACACGTGTGCAGGCTTCTGTTCTCAGAAAGTAAGACCAATGATCATTGCAAAGCCCTTTTCTGTAGCAACCCTACAAGCGTTGTGTCCCCAGAGAGGGAACAGGTGCCTGGGCTGGGCCAATAATGCCTGCTGTCAAGTATGAGGGACTGGGGAGGGAGGTCCTTACCCTGGACTTTAGGGTGGGTGCTGGCAGGGAGGTTGCAGCTGGCTTGGGGACTTGGGGGCTGGGTAAGAAATTGTCAGGGAAGTTGCAAAGCTAGAATGATGGTGCCTTTTCCACCGTGTGCTCTTGGCACAAGTATGAGATGTTAAATTGACTTGGTTTGGAAGCAAGAAGATGCTGGCTCAGACCTTGGGGAGAGCTGATGGATTTTTCTGCTCTTTGCACTGAGAGTGTGGAGATGTGAAGCTGACAAGAGGGACTGTGTTGTATGTGAGCACCTGTGGTGCAGCCTTGGCTGAGAAGTATGGTGGGACCTTGTGCAGGGCTGGGGTAGCGCTCTACAGTGTAATAGATCACTGCTTTTATATAATCTTTCTCACTGTAGTCTTATACTGCCTTCCAATTGATTGGGTGCGACTATGCACCAAGGGGTTTGTTGTTGTTGTTGTTGTTATGTGCTGTCAAGTTGCCTGTGACTCATAGCAACTCTGTGTATAACAGCTCTGAAGCCTGCCCTATGCTGAGGCTGTCTCATTGCCTCCAACATACCCACCCTGTTGCCCCAGATACTGTATCAATCCATCTCATTCTAGGTTTTTTTCTCCTGCACATCCCTCCACCCTTCTGCACATGCTATCCTTCTTCAAGGACTGGTCCCTCCTGGCCACATGCCCAAAGTATGTGAGATGAAGCTTCAAAATTCTAGCCTCCAAGGAGAAACTTGGTTTCACCCTCTCCAAGACAGACCTATTTGTTTTCTTGGCAGCCCATGGTATGTTCAAGACTCTTCCCCAGCACCACGACTCAAAGGCATCAATTCTTCTTCTGTCATCCTTAGGCATTGTCCAGCTCTCTGATACATAGCAAGTAATTGTGAAGACCATGGCCTGGATCAGGCACACCTTAGTCTCTAGACTGATGTCGTTGCTTCTCAGTACTCTGACAGCAGATTTTCCCAGTGTAATTCGTCTTTTGTTTTCCTGACTGCAAGTCCCAAAAGTGTTATACAACTTGCTGATAATGCAGATAAGGTGCATGGCACCCTTCTTGGTGTAGGACCCTGCAGTAAAGTTATTGGAGCCCTACAAGGAAGGGCATTGTTTCGTTTTATAATCTCACAGTGCTTAAAAAGAGCTTTCCAGAAGTGGAAAGGGAGGAGGTCACTAACACCAAGAACACAGAAAAGTAGAGCATGTCCTCTGGGCCCAGGGCCCTACGCTGAGAACCTACTAGACCCAGGAAGCATAGAGAGTTGTGACACCAGAGACGGCACAAACAAGTAGAAAAATAGCAGAGAAATGGAGGCTGCAGAACCAGGAAAATGATGCACAATGGCTCTGGGGGCTTCCCCGCCCACACAGTGAGGTGGTTACAACAGGTGTGCTCACGGCTCACAGAGTAGGAAGCTGAGCACCTTTAGGAAGAGTCTTCCTGGTGGAGTAGTTTGTGCCTAGGCACTTATCAGTGGAACCAGAGAGCTTTGTAACACTTACAGAGCCATGCAGGGGCCAGAGCAAGATAGAGGCCAGACTGAGAGGGTGAGAGTCAGAGAGAGGCCTCCCTGCCTGTTACTCACTGAGTGGCTAAATCTGCTGACAAGGACCTCTTTAAAGTTCTAAAGGGCAAGGATGAGGGTTTAAAGACTAAGGTGCACCTGGTATAGGATTGCACATATTTCATGGTCTCTAATTCAAATATGAACAGTAAATAAGGAAGACCAAAAAATCAATGCCTTTGAATTGTGGTGTTGAAGAGTATTGAATATCCCATGAACTGACAAAAGAACAAACAAATCCATCTTGGAAGAAGAACAACCAGAGTGTTTCTTAGAGGCAAGGATGATGAGATTTCATCTCACATGCTTCGGGATGTTGTCAGAAGGAGGCAGTCTCTGGGGGAAAGCTGTCATGCTGGGAAAGGTGGAGAGTCAGAGAAAGAGAGGAAGACCCTCGACATTGTGGATTGACACAGTGACGGCAGCAGTGGGCTTAAGCATGGCAGAAATGGTGGGGATGGGGCAGGACAGCGCAGGGTTCTGTTCTGTCCATAGGGTGGCTGTGAGTCATGGTGAACTTGACGGCAATAACAAAAGCTTTACTAACCAACCCATAACTTAGTGTGTTCTGTGGAGCCATTACAACCAGATAGCAAAGCCAGCAGAGGAGTAGAGTGACTTGGGAGGGATGGATGGCATTGGTCAGAATTAGTATTGAAATGGTTGGAGAGAGGAGGTACGTAGGAATCAGCCTTGGGCTGACGCCAAAAGTGAGTCTCTCTCTCCTTGTGACATTAAAGGACCTCATAAAATTGGCCATCATGCTATATTTTTCCTTGTTCCAAAGTCCCCGTGTTACATTCCAGCCCATGAGTGGTAAGGCTGGCCATGGCCAGATAGGGCTTGCAAAGGACAGACTTCGGGAAGTGTGGAGTGAGGCCAGAGTCCCAGCAGGCTGCACCCTAAGAGTGGTCTTGGTCTGGTGTCCAGATTGGGGTGAATGCGCTGGGTCTCAGAATGTCTCTAGATGGCTGAAGTCGGAAGCTGTTCAGATGTGCTGGGAAGTTCAGTGAACAGAACGAAGGAGAGAAAAGAGCACTGGCAGTGATGATCCTGTTTCACTAAATAGGAATGAAGGCCTCAACATATCCTTCGGAGGAGACAGTTCAAGCTGTATCATATGCCCTTTCCAATTTCAAAGCTGTTCCCCTGGACTTCATTCACACCTGTTTCAGGACCAGAAGCCCACGTTTCCCCTCAGGAAAAGTGTCAACAATCATGACTATTCTTGGGTTTTTTGGTTTTGGGTTTTGTGGGTTTTTTTGCCAGAAACCCATTTCCTTTCCTGATGAAGAAAAAGAACAATAGCATTTATTGATCAGATAGCACACGCCAGGCGCTGTTCTAAGCACTTTACATGATTTAACTCATCCAGGCCTCGTAACATTCTCACGGGAGAGGTGCTGTTATAATCTACATTTTATAGGGAAAGAGACTGGGAGAGGTCCAATAGCCAGTAAAGGGCCAAGTTGGGGCTCGAACTCAGAACAGCTCCATAGCCTTCATGCAGTTGCATGAAAGCAAAAGTGATTGGACTTAAATGAATGCACCCCCTACTCACCCCACATGTGGGGGTCACACTCCCTCTTTTCTTGAGCATGAGTGGAGCACAAAGCCTTCTGTGTGCACTTAACCTCTACACAAGTGCGTTCTTTGAAAGGCCTCTCCTGTGTCAGACACCGGCATTTCTTAAGCCACTGCCAAAGATGTCTGAGGGGTCAGGGCTTGTGGGACACCATGCGTCAAGCTGGGAGGCAGCTTTGGTGATTTGTAGACCATCTGGCCTGCAGCCCTAGGTCCCTTCAGCCACTTGGCATTATCAGAGGTGCCGGTGGCTGCAGGGCACAGCACTGACATGCTTAGCCAGCAGCACCTGCTTGAGCCCACAAGGAATTAATCCCCCCTTCTGAGGACTTCTCTCGGACCTGCCGTTCAGAACTGCTCTCTGGAAAGCTCCCCCATCAGAATCAAAGGCAGCAAAGCCAGCCTCCCTCAGAGTCAGCAAACAGAAGTACCCTCCAGTTTGCTGGGCACGGTGAAAGGCCCTTCCACAATTATCTACCCTGATCCTCTCAGCTGCCACAGAGGGCAGGCGTTCTGATCCCTGTTGGCCACCAGAGGCTCTGGAGGTTCCCAGAGGGGAGAGCGCCCACGTGCTGCTCAGAGCGGTGGGCTTGAGAGCCACAGCACTTGACACCACATCCACCCCTTCGTACATCCTGCTGCTTCTCGGGGTGACAGGCAAGCACAGAGAGGAGAGACGAGGCACAGAAGAAAGAGAATGCCAGTACAGCTGTGCGCGCCTGTTGTTTTTCATTTCTAATAGGTAATTTGTTCCCATGGAACAGAATAAAAAAGAAAAGCTGTCTGTTTCCTAGTGCTGCAATAACAGAGGTCCCACAGCGGGTGACTTTAACTAACGGAAGTGCATTTTCTCATAGTCTCATTCATTCATTCATTGCCATCGCGTCAGAACCGACTCACAGCTGACCCTCCAGTGGGTTTCTAAGGCTGTGAATTGCGTGGGAGGAAATTGTCTGTCTTCTGAGGGGCCGCTAGTGGATTTGAACCTCCAGGGAGGCGTGGTGTTTGAGGTAGCAGCACAATTTCCTACAGACTGCTCCCCTAGAAATCTGAATCCAGTGCGCTGGGTCTTGGAGAGGGCTCTGTCCGTCCACTCTGGGTGAAGATCCTTTTCTCTAGCATTCTCTTGCTTAGATCCTTGGTCATTTCTGCCTGGTATCAGTTCTCCGCTCATACTTGCTTCTTCTGGTCCCTAATTTGCAAGTTGGTGTTACACAAAGTGACTGGCATGAGACCCACTCTACACTGACGCAGACTCATTAACTTACCAAGAAAATCACTATTTCTGAATAAGAGTTATACCCACAGGTATAAGAATGAGGACTTAAGAACACAATTTTTGGGGGGACACAATTCTGGAGGTCAGAGTTAAACCTGTAACAGTAGCCCAGGATGTGGCAAAACAAGCCCCTCCTTCTTCCCATCTTAATCTGCCAAATTGCCTTTATTGGCAGTGATCCTGGCTTCACATGCTCTCTCAGAGAGTGGTTCCATGAATATTCTCGCAACTGCATTGATGTCACTGATCCTTTACAAAACCCGTAGACATTCACTAGTTTGCACTTTTCATTTTTTATATCATTTTCTCGAGTTAGAATATATGTCACGCAAAATTTACCATCTGCGTTTTAACCATTGTTAAGGGTACAGTTCCGTGACATGAATTACGTGACTGTGCTATATAACCACCGTTACCACTGTTCCTTCCCAAAGTTTTTCAATACCC